AAGACTAGGACTCCTAGAAAACATTGTATTATGAGGATTCATCACAAAATTGACTAGTTTTACATTGACTGTTAGCCTGCCGTAAATATCCTCCTTTTACTACTGACATACTACACTCCTTTTAACTGAAATAACTGTCTTCGATCTTGTCTGACAGATTAGGATGTGGTATGCACAACTACGCCAGTAGAGCAGAATGTTATAAATGCAAAACACCTAGGGATTTTGGTGAGCTGATACTGCACAATCGACAGTTTACTTTTTCCAACAGCATTATTATTTACTAACATCTTGTTCATTTCTATGTTTTTCAGGAGGTGATCTGAGAGAAAGTAATTTATATTGAGCGCGGCGACATGAAGTTATAACTGAAATGTACCAGAACACATAACCCTCAATAACCTTTCTTTTCCTTCTAGTTTTTCTTTTCTTCCTTTCTTTAACAGTGTTTAGTAGCATTTCCTTGTAGTTTCTCAAAGAAGGGTTTCTAAATCTAACTGCATTGTAACTTCGCAAATTGTTCTATGAATGAAATCCCTTCAGATTTTGCATTCTTTCTGTTTTTCAAGTTTCAACAACTGCATTTGTAGGGGTAGTCCAATGATTAATGTTATGTATCCTATTGAAGGAATTGCTAGCTTAGGCTCGGACCTTATATGTGTACGAAAAAAATAAAAGAAAGTATATATATATATATGTATAGAACCAGACACTGACTCTAAATCCTAAATCCAGTGCTGTTGACTGTGGCTAGCGGCTTAGATGAGTCTTCCCAACTTCGTTTAAACAGCAATAATCGCGTCTCAATTTCAAACTAGTATTATATTATCCTCCCTTTGAGAATCAATATTCTTAGTCAAGCTGCAGCTTTTGTAGTTGGCACTAAAAGTAGTTCTGCCATACTGTTAGTCTGTTACAACATATGTGACTAAACATTTGTAAATTGACTAGGTTCTACTTAGCAAGTGGATGTATAACTACGATTGAACTATCAACAGTGTCACAACCTTTTGCTTGTGGGACAAACAGTATGGCTTTTGCTACGAAATTCCCGGGCCAAAAGAGAGTACTGGTCATTGTTGTTTACAGTTTTGACTGGAAGATCATAAAAAACAAGAAGCAATGTGGATAAAGCTTTCATTTATGTTGGGCTAAACCAGCTTGCAAGTTTTTTTTT